AATCTGCCTTTATATGTTACTTGGCCTTTTCCCCTTGCTAATTTTAGTATTCTGTTTTTATTCTGTGGGTTAGTGTTTTGATTATTAGGTTATGTGGGTATTTTTTTTTTTTCTGATCCAATCTATTTGGTAGTCTGTAAGCTTCTTACAGCTCTGTAGGCATGCACTTCTTTAGGTTGGGAAAATTTTCTCCTATAATTTTGTTAAATATTTTCTCTGGTTTGTTGTCTGTTTTGTTTTGAGTTGGGATTCTTCTCCTACTTCTATTCCTATTATTCCTAGGTTTGGTCTTTTCACTGTGTCCCAAATTTCCTGGATGTTTTATATTAGGAACTTTTTTAAGATTTAACATTTTCTTTGACCAGTGAATCCTCTGGCATGTCTTCACTGCCTGAGATTCTCTCTTCTAACTCTTGTATTCTGTTGGTGATGCTTGAGTCTATATTCCTGTTTGCTTACCCAATTTTTCCATTTCCAGAATTTCCTCCATTTGTGTGAGAGTTTTAAAATTGGTTCTATTTCCATTTTCCCAGAGAAGGAAGAGTGATGATAGGAGCAAAGTGGTCAAGGGGGAAACCCACAGGATCAGTTGACCTGAGCAAATGGGAGCTCACTGATTCCAGACTGAGAGCTGGGGAGCCTGCATAAGACCAAACTATGTCCCCTGAATGTGGGTGACAGCTGGGGGGGGATTGGGCAGTTTATGGGGCTGCTGGCAGTGGAACCAGTATTTATCCCTAGTGCATAAACTGGCTTTTTGAAGCCTATTCCCTAAGGAGGGATACCTTGGTGAACTAGATGCAGGGGGGAGGGCCTTAGTCTGCCCCAATGATGTGACAGACTTTGATGATCCCCCATGGGAGGCCTCACCCTCTCTGAGGATGGGTGGAGATCAGGGTCAGGAGATGGTGGGGGGAAATGAGAAGATAGGAGGGAGAGGGAACTGGGATTGGTATGTAAAATAAGATTGTTTTAAAAAGAAAAAAAGAGCAGACATGTATTTACAGTATGTTCTGAAACAGTAACTTTAAATTTGTATCAATATACAAAGTATCTTGAACATCTTTAGAAACATTTGTATATTATAACAATAACCTTACATTTATATCAAGGTATAAAAATTCATGCCAGTGTAAAATATTTAAGACTATTAGTTGGTTTTTTTAGTTTAAAAGTAGCTTCAATAATCATTTCCTTATCATTTCTATATCTCCTTTTTTTTTTTTCAGAGAATAAGACCTTTCTGCCCAGCCTGCCAGCTTTCAAAAGGCCACATGGAGACTTCTTATTAATTATTAAATCTCAATGATAGCTTAGGCTTGTTTCTAACTAGCTCTTAATTTAACCTTTTTTTTTTTTTTAAATCTGCATTCTACCATGTGATTTTTTTTTTTAACCTCTAATCCCATTTTAAGTGTCTGACTTGTTCAGCATCTGTCTGGCTTCTCTTGACTTCACCTTTCTTCCCAGTGTTTTCTCTGCCCCAAATCCTGCCTAGCCTTTGGCCATTCAGCTTTTATTAAACCAATCTCAGAGACATATATTTGCAGTGTTCAGAAAAATTATTCTATAACATTTAGCCACCTGGGTCAGTGATGAATATACCCCTAAGCATTGATTCCTGTTTTTGTCTTTGTTGGGTGGTGGTCTGTTTCTTGGTTTCCCTTTCCTCTAAGTGTCTAAGGATTCTGATGGCTTGCGAATCTTCAGGTCCAGTAGGGTGTCTCTGTTGGGGTTTAGGAGATCTGCTGGTCCTCTGGATTCCTAGTAGAGCCTGGTTCCCAGTACAGCAGAAGTTTTCTGCCTGAGCTGGGGTCCCTCGATCTGGCCCATCCTCCATTAAATCTGAAGTCCTCTTCCAAAGTTGTTGGCTGGAGCGAATATGGAACCCAGGGGAGGGCTGTTATCTGGGATTGGTTGGTAGGCTTTAAGGGAGTGTTAATGGGTGGTGGGCCATGTTTCACCTGGGATCTCTAGGACTGGCCCGGCCTCTAGTAAAGCCAAAGTCGTCCTCTGAAGTTGTAGGCCACGATATGGAGCCCAGGGAGAGTGCTGCAGTTTGGGCAGTAATTGTACTTCCACAGTCTCAGAGGAACCACATGTTTTAAAGGAAATCCAATCGCTAAGGTTGTTATAAGCCTGATATAGTATAATAAGCATGATGATTTATGTTTCCTAATTGTCACAAAACCCACTCTCACGTCGATTAGTTTCAGTATTTCACAAAATCTGACTGTTGGCAACTGTTTGAGATTATGCAGCTCATTTTTTGTTTGTTTTTTGAAACAGGGTTTATCTGTGTAGACCCAGTTGTCATGGAACTGACTCTCTAAATCATGCTGGTCTTGAACTCACAGAAGTCCCCCTGCCTCCAGCTCTCAAATGCTGGGATTAAATGCATGTGCCACCACAGCCTGGAGGCATCTCACATTTTAAACTTGATCCTCTATCAACATATTAAATCACTTCATACATTGTAGAGTTCACAATGTGGAAAAAAGGGGCCGGGATGGCATCTTTAGCCAGATAGCTGCACTGTAAGAGGAAGAGGAGAAAGGCAAGATGCAGCCAGCAGAGGATGGAAGACAAGAAATTAGCAACAAATCTCAGGGTTCCTGAGAGGCAGCCTTTCTCAACTGTGGAAGCATTGTGATGTCTCATCATATCCAGCAGGTGGCAGTGCTGCATAACATCTCAATGTTAAAGTGATTTTTTTTTTTTTTTTTTTTTTTTTTTTTAGGCTTTTGAAGCTCCTTTTTTTTTTTTATTTTATTTTTTTTTTTTTTTTTGCTCTTATTCCAGATCCCTCTCCCTCCCTTCCTCCCAAGCCCCCCGACTGCCCTCCCATCCCATTTCCCACCCACATACACACACTCCACAGGGAGGATGATGCCTTCCAAGAGGGGTCAACAAAATCTGTCAAGTCATTTTTATTTTTATTTTTACATCCATCAAGTTTCAGTTATTGATATCTTCTTACCAATTCCTTTCCTTACCACCTTTATTCCATTCTCTAAGCCTGCCTTATATTTAGTTGGGCTTCCTACTATTGGTGTGTTCCATTTAGATGCACTGAGTTAGGAATACCTAACAACGTGGACTTTTAAGAGGCCTAATGCCAACCTTACAGTGGGTCCCAGGTCTCTTCAGCATTATTATTCATTTCTTTCATTTGTTCTTATTCATTATTCATTCACCAAGTACTTTTTGATGACATGATTTGTTCGTTTTTATTATGTATCCATGAACAAATTATTTAAAGTATTGTAATTAGTACTGAAGGTTGGTTAACAATAATACCAAGGCTAGAATGTTCTAGCCTTTTAGATCATTGATTAATGGAAGATGTCATTCTGTATATATGTTTCTCTTATTGGTTAATAAATAGAGCCCTGTTGGCCAAAAGGAAAGCAAGACTAGGAGACAAGGAGGATTCTGGGAGAAGTCAAGATGTAGGCCATGAGAGATTAAGATGTCTGGACTCTCTCTCTCTCTCTCTCTCTCTCTCTCTCTCTCTCTCTCTCTCTCTCTCTCTCTCAATCCAGTAAGACCACGTGGAAATACTTAGATTGATAGAAATGAGTTAATAGCTAAGACAGAGCTAGCCAATAAGAATCTTTAGCCATTGCCAACAGCTTTATAATTAATAGAGTCTCTGTGTGTTATTTTGGGGCTGGTGTAGCTGTGGGGCCAGGCTTGTAGGAAAGTGCTTGTAACAATTGATATTATGTTAATGGCTTCCAAATTAATTATGTCACCTCACCAGGTAGTTTTGATGCCCAGAACTCCAGGCACTGAGCCCAATGGCTAACAAATCATCATACTTCCTATTCTTTGGAAAGCCTGTGGGGCTGGGACATGTGATGGTCTGAATGAGAATGGCCCCCATAGACTCACAGGGAATAGCATTATTGGAGGTGTGGTCTCATTGGAGTAGGTGTGGCCATGTTGGAGGAAGTGTGTCATTAGGGATGGGTTTTGAGGTTTCAAATGTTCAAGCCAGATCCAGTGTTGCTCTCTCTTCCTGCTTCCTACCAATCCAGATGTGGAACTCTGGGCTCCTTCTCCAGTGCCATGTCTGTCTTGTGTGCTGCAATGCTTTTTGCCATGAATATAACGAACTTAACCTCTGAACTTGTGAGCCAGCCCCAATTGAATGTTTCCTTATAAGAGTTGCTTTCTTCAAGGCAATTGAACAATTAAAGGGTGATTAAGATTGGGCAGGGGGGAGGAGGGGAACATGATCTGGAAATAAATACAAACCACCACATGGGGTGTGAGGTGAGACTGGTGCTTTAAAGGTGCTAATAGGAGACACAACAGTGTCTGCTGGAACCTACTCAGGGTGCCACGTAGAGGTTGCCTCTGACTCCCTTCCCCTCACTTTCAGACACTTTTCATGATCCTGCCTGACCTTAGTAACAACATCTCCGGGACCAACAACATCCTCCTTCTTTCCTAGAACCACAGTATCTTAAGCATTGACTAGCAATAATGGGAGCAACAGATATGTTTACTTATTTGTAATTACCCAAAACCCCAAGTAGAGATATCCATGTTGGCATGGGGGAGAAGAAGAAAATTTTCACCCATGCTTCAGGCTCCACACCCACAGGTAGAACAGGGCCCAGTATACTTTGTAAGCAACATGACTCATGAATGGCAATGTACACCCTACCTCTGCCTTCTAGCACTGAACAAGTTATTATGCCAAGTTCAGCTATTTCTGTAACTAAAGAAAACTTGTGATGGTAGCATGTTAACATATTCAACTCATAACATCAAAGGGAAGAATGGCAGCCAGGTCATTATAGATACAACAGGATTAAAATGGAGGACATATAGAAAGTGTTTACTACTCTATATAGTGTTCTATAAAGACTCAATGAAGGATTTAGGGTTTTATGAATCACATTAGCCATGTCTTAATATGATCTGGATAGGCCCCCTCCCCAACCTGTCCAAATCCCTTGTCTAAAGAAAAAAAATTGTTCCAAACATGTGACTATAAATCCATTTTATTTGCCTTTGCTCTAGGAAAACATTAGCCTATATATCTCATCCACTAGTAAAATTCTAATTTAAACAGAGGGGCAAAATGGCACATTGAAAAGTTAGATCAGTTCTTCTTTTTTCCTAGTCAGTTCCAAAGTAAAATGTACAGTTGGATAAACAAATATTTAAGGCATAGAATAGTTCCTCTACAGTTTATTCTTCATTCCATAAAATGTCCCATTCTCATGGATTCCTTAGACTTTGGAACCGTTAAATAGAGGGGGAAAAACAGTAAAAATTTGTATAGGTGCCAAAACTTTAAACTCCAGAGTCTTCATCTTCTCTTACTTGGTGCTTCAAAACTGTTGCTCCCAAAGACCTAGAATGCAAATTTATTGCATGTATAAAGTGAAAAAAAATCTGAAATGTTTTAATATAAAATGTTAAAACCTTTGATCACTATCCTAGTCTTTCATAAACACAATAGAGAAATTACATTATAGAATCACATAAACAAATTTACTATAATCAATGCTTTAAAACATATGACTAAGAGTGCTCTTTTTTTTTAAAGAAATCATTTTTAAGATGGAAAAAATGACATTTAAGGTAAAGTGCTATTCCAAAAAAAGTGTTTCATTTTAACTTTAATTTTTTACAGATATACCCAAGATATCCTTAAAATTGCAGATTACAAAGTGAATGGATTCAAAAACTAAAGTCACAGGATACATAAAGACAGAACATTCACATTCCAGTGAAAAGCTAAAATGGATAGTTTTCCTCATCAAATCAAGCTGGTATCTCGTTATGAAGGCAATATAGTAACACAAACACACGCCAGTTCAAGCAAGGACTCAGCCATCCTAGACTTTTCTCAATGCTTTGTTATTTCTCCCAGCACCATGTCTGGCAAAAGCCACTCTGAAGCCTCATGGGCACAGTAGATTAAATGGCCTTTGAGATCAAAATGTTTCCTTGTGACTTGGATTTAATCTCTTGAATGACAAAGATGCCCCTTTTAATTACATAAGGTGACTTCTTTGCAGATGTAACATGATTGGAGATTCGGAACCCTAAATTCTATTGATTAGAGACAGCTGGAGATAAACTGGGGGTCCTGCCCTTCCTCTTGTTTCTCCACGTTCTCTTCTCCAATCTGGAAAGTCCAAAGTGATTCTAAGTCACAGAAAAGTTGGGTTTTTGAGAATGAACAGAAGCTTCTAAACAAATGAGTCAGGTTTATACCTATGATCCAGAAATGAACAGGGTGAGCACAGAATCCCATTTTTAGAACTGCACTATGATAAGGAAACCCAAACCCTCTTTTGGGAGATGATGACTTTATGACTGGTTTGCAAAGAAAACTCCCACAAGATACCCTGCTGACACAAGGACTCAATTGCTGCTCAATTGGAGTAGTGTCAACATTCTTCTATTCTTAACAGGAATGCGTCTACAGTTCGAATTCAAGGTGGGTACTTGGGCTGTTACTAACATTTCAGAGAAGATGGGGAAGTTGCTCCATCACTCAACGAGTTGTGTTAAATTTGGAGGATGTGGTAGTGACAGAGGAGAGTGGCAAGCACAGACTGAGAGGAGAGCTTCCTGTTTCAGTTAGACAGTTTCAAATGAAATACACTACCAGCCACCCTTTAAAATCCATTCCAACCATAGTGCTTCATGATTAATCAGGCACTCAGAGTGTTGTCTACCTATTGGAAGAGGCAAGCGTTGACCGGGAAACTAATAAAAGATAATCCGTTGTATATTAACCATTGCCGTTCAAAGAGTTTCAAATATTCTTGGCACTCTGTTGAAAAATTGAGGCCCTCTATCATGAACCCAGCTCTGCATCTTCACATTCTGGCCAGCAGCCCAGTACTTCCATTAAAAATGAGAATAATAATAGAGAGACAGGGTCTTTTTTATGACAAAACTATTGCCCAGCGGCCACTGCTTTAGTTATGCCTTAGAGTTACCTTTAATAAAGCTAATTCCATCAACTATGTCCTGACCTCCTTTATGGAGCCAAGTTTTACAGTGAGTACAAATCCTGAATGAGAAAACTCTAGGCTGCTCCAGATTTCTCTGTTATTGGTTATTTCCCCTTATAAATATGCTAGCAAAATAGTATTAACAATTTTATTGGGAGGTGATACTCTGTCAAAATAAAAATGTGAACAATCTGGTGGTCTTGGTTCCAGCAGCCTTGAAGATTCCCAGGGATAAGGCCACGTTGGTCATGTGAGTTTGCAACGTGGCACAGCTGTAGCCATGGATTCCTCGTCTTTCTGATCTAACTCCCTTGCTACAGAGTAAGCCACTGATCCATTGGTCCATAGTGGTAGCTTAGGATCTGATTCTTTGGCCAGGAACCGCAGCTGTGTTCTCTTCATCCTCTTTACAATTCTAGCAAAGCCAAGCAGTACAGAACTAAATATCATAGCAAATCCGCAGAGAAGGAACGCCGCAGTATAGCTGCCTGTTGTGTCCACCAGCCATCCTACAAGAAAGGCAAAAACACATTGTTGAACTAAAAATTCAATTACCAGATTTACCTACTCCCAAATGTAGTCATTTGTCAGGATGATCACAATATACTACAGCACATCGTCATGCCTGTGAACAAAAAGCAGATGGCCTAAATTGCCATGTAGCAACAGAAAAATACATTCTGATTCATTAGGAGAATCCATAAAATAAATTAATAATTGCTATTAAGTAAAGGACTTAGAACAGTCCTCTGTACTCAGTCATCACACAATAGATATTCATGATTATTAACACCATGAAATTTTGTTAAAAAGATTCAAATTTATATTTCAAAGCCTATAATTTAAACATCATTTACATTATTGAAGTCAGGATTATTTACATAGGGTGTTAAGTGAATATGCAAAATGCTAATAGAATTCCCAGATCGAAATAGGCTTCAATGCAGTATCCAGTTGTCAAGGGAAGTCCAATGTCCTTTATTCAAATATCAAGACTTTGGACCATTACTTCTTGGCCTTTTGGCTAAGACCATATGCTGAACATGTTGGTGTGTTTCAAATGCATATACCCAAGGCCACACATCTATGATAGCACATTTGTTGCTGTTGCAACATATTAATCCCAAAAGCTAAGCCAGCCACAAAAAACTGAGGACAGCCATGTTGTTGTGATAGGAAAAATATGGGTCACAAGGATCAGAGAATCAGTGGGGTAAAGCTATACTTTGGCAAGCAGTTACTTTGTAATATACAAGGAACATCTTTGACTTTTTCCCCAAAATATCACTCATGTGACATCAAAATCCACCAGCTTCTCTTTTCAACTACTTCAAACCCACTTGTCAAAATGGTGTGTAAAAAATAATTCACATTCCACTGATGGGAGATGTCATTCTGTAAATATGTTTTCTTATTAGTTAATTAATAAATCCCTGTTGGCCAATAGGAAAGCAAGATAAGTGGGACTAGAAGACAAGGAGGATTCTGGAAGATGGAGTAGGAGGAGTCAAGATGTAGGGCATGAGAGAAGTAAGATGTCTGGACCCTCTCTTCAGTAAGGTAAGACCACATGGAAACAGATTGATAGAAATGAGTTAACAGCTAAGACAGAGCTAGCTAATAAGAAGCTCTAGCCATTGGCAAGCAGCTTTATAACTAATAGAGTCTCTGTGTTATTCTGGGACTGTGGGACCAGACTGGCAGAAAACTGCTTGTAACATTCTACAAAGTTTACCATGATCCATGTTCCCTGCACACATTTTCTTATGGTCTGACTCATGTGTAGATTTCTGTAGGACCAAAGTAGTCACTCTTAAAGTCAACAGACATTTTCCAGCTTCCTTCCATTGCATTAAAATGGAATCTTAATTTCTTCTGTCACAAATCTCTAGCTTACAGTTTCTAACATTTAGTACCAATATTTAGTACATACACGTGGTAAAGCATGAAGAGATCTGTCTGCTGCCCAGCTCTCGGAGCTGCACCATCATGCTACACCTTCTCTGCTTGGCCCACTGCTCCCTTTGAGAAGCTTCTGAATGTGCCTGGCTTACTTACAATTGGGACAAATGTTCCCTTCTTTTACTTCTAGTATGAACTGGAACCAAGATCCTGATTTAGGGGTTTTCTCTTTCCAGGCAAGCCACCATCCTTACTTGGTTAGGAAAAGATTATAAAAGAAGAAAGTGGGTAGGACCATGATACTTTGGTGGCTCTTGAATTCCTATTTGTCTTTCACTCTTCCCTAACTCACTGGATAAACTTGTCCTAGTCGTTGGCATATGAATTGTGTTCATAAGTGTGTGTTTGCTTCATCCACATCAATATGATGACAGTGGCTAGCAAGCTTTCAATGCTTACCTGCAATGGGTGGGCTCACCAAGTATGGCACTGCATGAAGGAAGTACACCACGCCAAGTGCTGATGACAAAGATGTGGTCCCCACTATCTCTGCAGTCACTACTGGGATCAAGGTAACATAGGCTCCATCAAAGTAGCCAAAAGTACAAGAGAAAGGCACAAGAAGGGGGAAACTTTGAAGCATTGGGAGGCACAGATAGCACAGCCCATCTAGTGCCACAGCAAAGAGGTAGCAAACATACCGGTAATTCTTCAAACACCTACGGATGAGAAGAACAATAATGATTATGGGACACACAGGTTCTCTAAAAGACAGTTTGAACCAAGCCGTGAAGTTGTAAGCACTGCAGCTGTTTACACAGGTACCTTCCTATTTGTGTTACCTTCCAACTATTCTTTTCTTTTTAAAGATTAAGCTTTCAAGTGTGTGTGTGTGTGTGTGTGTGTGTGTGTGTGTGTGTGTGTGTGTGATGCACTTGTGCACACACTTACACAAGAGCTGGTTCCCATGGAGACCAGAAGAGGGTATTTATTCCAGTCCTCTGCAAAAGTAGCAAGTGTTCTTTATTACTAGGTCATCTCTCCAGACCCTGTTACACCCTAATTGTTCTACTGGCATGTGTAAATAAATTTATGTCTGTAGGAAGCATAGTGTAATGATACTCTGAAATTAGATATGCACAAGATCGCAACTTCACTACCTGTGTAACTCTAATCTAAAATTCTTTCATCATAAAAGGAGGTTATCTGCTTCAATAATATGTAAAGCTTGTTGTGAAATAACACATAGCATGTCAAGAAGCTACAATTTTCTAGGCATCTACCATATTGAGTTCTTTGAGATGTGGTAGCCATTGGTATAGAGCACATCACAAATGCTCAATAACTCAACTGATCATACATTGCTGAGACTGGAACGTGAAGTCATTAAAACGAAATGCAAGAGTGACAAAGGCCAAGTCTTAATCTGCAGACTTCCCCAATGGCACTTCTACTACATTCCCTATCTACAGTTCCACCCCCTTTCCCTTGATACCGATTCTATGAAAAACCGTATAAATGTCAGCTTTGGCGATTTAAAAATGCTCTCTCCCATTATCCTCTATCCTCTAAATATTGCACTGACCTGTTTGACAGGTGGAGCCCTTGTGCATCTGAGCATCTGGGTTATGGGGTTAGTAAGGAGCAGAGCTAGCACAAGTATTTAAGTCTTGTGCCTAGCCATGCCTCCTTCGGCTTACATGGTGCTTCTGCCTGAGTCATCACTGTGCAGTGGACATCGCCCTTCCTCCTTCCTTTGTTCTTAATTTACAATGTGGAAGTGCTGGGGAGTGGCTCTGTGAGCTTGTCCAGCACAGGAGGGTGCTGGTTTTATCACCAGCCAAGCACAAAACAAGTGGAATCTATCTTAAATATCATATAATTAATAATGCTAGAAGGTGACAGTCAGACCCTGATTAATTACCAAAGCGTAATTTGTGAGACACCTGCCTGATAGATCTCTTAGTTCATAACTCAAATGGAAAGAATTTCTCATCTAGGACACCATTAGAAGTTTGCATTCTTCAATCCAAACAGGTAATTACTTGCTGTAGACTTCCTATAAATTCGTTCTCTAAGCTTACAATATTATGAAGATATTCTTTTCCGGCACTGGGATCTGAATCTGTGGCTAATGTGTGTTATTGTACCTGACCCTCCCACCTGGAATAGATTCAGCTTCCCCTTCAGCTACTAGATGATGGCTGGGATGATTCAAAATAAGTTTACACCGCAGCAGCCAACCAGCAGTTGCCTCAAGGGAGGAACGACTTGCCTTGGGCTGAAATTCAAAATGCCATTGGAACTCTCAGATGTCCTCGCTCTGTGCTGTTTAGACAAACTCATCAACCTAGATTATCTAGAACAAGGGTGGACATCTAGGGTCACATCTAGCTTGTTATCTGTTTGTGTAACTTACCTGCTTTAAATGTTTGGAAACAGGAAAAAAAACCCACACCAATATTTGGTGAAATATATAAAATTTCAAAGTGCATGGATACTCTTCAGCACACAGCTGCTTTTGTGCTGTCATAGCAGCCCTGGGGAGGCATGGGTAAACACCATATGGTCGACAAAACCAAACAAAGTTTACTCTATGTCTCTTTACATAAAAACTTTGCCAAAATCGGATCTATAAGAACCAGCAAGAAGGCTGGCTTCAGATGTGGAAATTACCCTTCACAGGTAAGAGGGTCAGGGAAAACTAGGGCTAGGGGAAACCAGTGGTGTTTTCAAGGATTTTGTATTTTACCTTCTGTCAGTAAGCCATCCAAATGTGATGTTGCCAACAATATCTATCACCCCCAGTATGGACATAAGGAAAGCAGCTTGATGGTGGCTCACTCCAACACTCAGAGCATAAGGCACCAAGTACACAAAGAGAGGGCTGCAACCGTAAGCCATGAACAGAACGGAGACGGCTAACACGACAAAGTCCGACATCAGTAAAAAACCGTATTCCTGTTGCAAAGAGCAGCAAGGACAGGTCTGTGCCCATTCTTTGGTCAAGGATGAATAGGGAGATGCCTGCTTACAGTCTTCTCTCTGCTTTCCATGGTCACAATGCTTCTCTGGACTCGAATGGTCCTCTTTAAGAGTAATCGGACGCATCAAAGCGCCACACACACAGAGATTCAAGACGAACCCTCCAAGAATGAGGAGTGCCCCTCGCCAGGAAAACTGTTCGATAAGGAGCTGAACGACAGGAGCCAGGATGAAGGTGCCGATGCCACTGCCTGACATGGCGATTCCGTACGCCAGAGCTTTCCGCCTGTTGAAATACTTGCCGACCATGGCAATAGCAGGAGAGTAACAAAGTGCAAACCCAAGACCTGGGAGACAGAGAATGCCATGAGCGCTGGTTCACCGTGAGCAGCCAAGAGGGTTGGGGGTGGGGGTGGGGGCGGGGAAGGGGCAAAAACGCTCTTGGAACAGGATGGCTTGGTGTGAAGAGAATCTGATCTTCCAGGAAATCCCTTTAAAACTGTTTGTATACCCAGCTGAAAAATTAGACTTCCTGCCAGTCATGCAAAACTAGCAAAATACAGGACTTACGCGACATTCTTCTTACGAAGAATACACTGAAAGAAATGATTTCTCAAAGAAAAGAAAATGAAGAACTTGGGGGGAAAAGTAGCTATTCAAGCTAAGTTGGAATTTACTAGCAAATCTAGAAAATGCCAAACCAAGAAACTGACTCCTCCCCCCTCCCTCCTCTGCCCTGCCCTCTCTCCCTCCCTCCCCTGCCTGTTTTTTGTGGGTTAAATTAGCTGAATAGTTGCCTCAACTCTTCCCCTCCCTGAGAAGACACAGGTGTCTGTGTCACCTGGATTTGTACAGAAATAGGATGTACGAATCCATGGGGGTTGCAGAATAATTTCACTTAGATGGGATGCATCATAGAATAGGAAACTTTACATAGGAATATGAAACCTGTAAATAAATATACTTCAAGGCCTTAAAAAAATAACAATAATCTCACAAGCCTTTAAAAGCTATCTGGCTTCTATTACCTTAGATTGATTTAGAAAGCATAAAGGGCTTCAAGCCTAGGTTTCAGGGCATGTAGGTTGTCTACTTAAACACCTAAAGACAGCTATGAAATAATGTGCAGCACATCTGAAGACTGATGGTGGCAGAGAAAAGAGGACTAATGGGTTTCCAGATGTGGAACTTTAATGCTAAAACCAGACTAGTTCCTAGTAAAATTAGCCACCAGGTCCCTTGAGTTACTCAGTACATGTTCCTTCCTTGCAGACAGATCCTTACATACAGCCTCACTATGAGGTTACATCCACTGATGGCCTAATTCCTGCTGCACTCATAGTGCAGTACCCAGCAGGAGTGGGTACCACTTTCCATCTGTATCAGTGATTAACAGAATGCCACTTCTGTTCCACCAGCCAACTTCATTCGGATCCTATGCAGCCTCATTAAAGCACAGCTTGTGGAATGTACATGTTCTTCTAGTTCCATAAAATCCATCACGATTTTCTAAAGTGATGTTTCTATAACACTGAGAGAATGTGAAATATGAGAATATCTGTGGCAAGGTACTATCTTTTCCAAATTGAAATTCCCACTTATTGGATAATAATACTCATAATAAAGCCAGGACACCTCAGGATGAACAGTGTTTAGTGTCTTAGCAAAGGCAGATGGAGAATGGCCATTGTTGAAAATATGTACTATTCTGAGTAATTTGTCATTTCTTCTGAGTATAGACTCTCAGGCAACTATAATACCAGAGCGAAAAGTTATTTTTCATCACATGGCTAAATTAATATGGTGAGGCATGCTCACTGGAGTCACATATAAAACTTTGGGTAACTGCTAAGCAGGTAGCCATTAGCCAAGTCAGCTACATTATGCATCTAACAAAATGAATGGTAAAAATCTCTGCTTTGTTTTTGTGCTTGACAACACCTGAACAAGGTGTGTCCAGGCGTGTGGAAGAAAGTGTACTCACCTGTAAGAACTCCCAGGGTGAGGTAGAGATGCTTCAGGCTGGTGGCAAATGATCCCAGGATGAAACCAGTAGAAGCCAGCAAGCCACCCAGCATGATTCCCACTTGACAGGATAAGTGGTTACTGACAACACTCCCAAGTGGAGCTTCAAAGACAACAGACAGGTCAGTAGAAAGGCAGGCTTTGGGGGTACCTTGAAAACACTGTGGTGGTGTACTGACAGAGAAGAAAGCAATCAACCTTTCAAACATCAAGCCCACCCCACCCAGTTTATAACTGGAAATTGACACCCAGGGAGGAGTGACACATTGGAGGTTACATGAACAGGAACAGGTCAGGGGCAGACATGAAATGTCCTGACTTAGATTCACCACTTATTCTTAGCTTCATTCTCTTACAGTCATACTTCCAGGACTAGAGTGTGGTTTATTTTGTTTTTATTTATTTACTTTTATGCATGTTTTTATTTATTTATTATTGTTTATTATGTTTTTATTTGTTTGTATTTATTTACTTTTACATGTATGAGTGTTTGCCTGCATGTATGCCTATGTATCATGTGTATACCTGGTGCCATTTGGAGCCAGATCCCTGAGAACTGGATTTACAGAGGATTGTGAGCTCCCAAGGGGATGCTAGAAACGGAACCCAAGTCCTCTATAAGAGTAGCAAGTGCTCTTAATTGCTCAGCTATCTCTCCAGATCGAAGGTGTTTTTTACATAGAGATCAGATATTTATTTAAATTGCATTCACTTGCTCAAGGATGTTATATACAGTATTGCTTTTATAATGTAACAGTAATTATGATAGTTACCTGAGTTGTTGTAGAACATTTGTTTGCACTGTATGAAGATGTATCACTGTGACTAGTTTAATAAAGAGCCAATAGTTTAGTGGGAGAGAATAGGTGGGACTTCCGGCCAGAGAGAAACTCAGGGTTGGAATCTGGTACAGCAGGAGATACCAGTGAGACTCCGAAGAAGATGGCCATATGATACAGAGGGTAGGTAACTGAGCCACATGGCAGGACATAGGTGAATAAAAACAAGTAAATTTAAGTTATAAGAGCTAGTTGGGGGAAAAGCCGAAGCTAAGGCCAAGCTTTCATAATTGATAATACATCTCTGTGTTATTGGGGAGCTGAAGGTCCTGACAAGAAAGTAGTACTACAATGAATAAATTTTTATTTTGAAGGAGAAAAAAAAATCATAGCATAACCAGTATTTCTAGGAACAACATCAAAAGAGCTGATTCCCTGAATATCTGTTTAATATGATCAGTTTTGTAGACTCACACATGCTACATCCTGGTACTGGCCAGCATCCCCCACCAGTTACAGTTAACTCTGGGAGAGTGGGAAAGAGTAAATCTCTAGAGACTGTGTGGACTTCTCAAGGGTGCTGCTACTATGGTTACTAGAGAGTGAAAACATTTGAGTCATAATCTAAACCAAATTTGATAGAGATGTTACACCAACTTCAATAAGCAAGGTTCACTTCTCTGTTCATCACAGGCCTTCTTCAGGGGATGTCTCAGTGCAGCTATGCAGTCTCTTGTTCATCTCTAAATTCTCACAATGCATAACTTTTGTGAGCAGGGGAATGCATGTAAACAAGTATAGCAAGACTCACAGAACATAAAGTCAGTTTTTTACCCTGCACAGAGCCTACACTGTCATGGTGACTACATTGTTATTGCTCTGTGGAAAATCACAAATACTCTCCAGAAGATAACATTGAGAGGGATGAGTCATACATATCCTCTGAGGCCGGCTGATATGAACACTGTGGCTAACAGCATGGCCCTGAAAATCCAGTGCTAGCTCAAGGACCCCAAGTATTTGGCTTTCTTAATACTTTTAAGTTGAAAAAGTAAGTTTAGTCTTTTCAAGAAATTTTCAGTCTACCCTAGAACCAGAATTACACTTCAACGCAAACGACTGAGTCCTAAAGCTAGACATTTAAAAATAACGGTACTAGTTTGCTTAATTAAAATTATTAACAATGATGAAAAATGTAACAAAATGTATTAACTATAAGTACATATGAGTCAGTACCTAGAATGGATTCAGATGAATTTATCATGAGTTATTGATTAGTACAGTACTTTCCTTTTGTCAATAAAACATAAAATTTTAGGTTTATTATTTCATATTTTGTGTATGGATGTTTTGTCTGTTTGTATGTAAGTACACCACATGTATGATGAGCTCCAACAAAGGCCAAAAGAAGGCAACAGATACCCTGGAACTGGAGTTACAAATGACTTCTGGCTGCCATGTGGGTGATGGGAATTGAACTTAGGTCCTCTGTAAGAGCAGCAAGTGCTTTTAACCACTGGGCCATCTCTTCAGCCACAGATTAAAGTTTCTCAAGAGACAACAGTTCCTAAAGCATTTTATGATTTATCTTAATGAAAGGATAGAATGGGTCCATGCTAGAAATGGATTATTCCAATTTATGTAACATCAGAAATTCAGTAGTAAACAAAGTCAGTAACTTTGGTTCAAAATTTATAAAAAGAAAAGCTTTTCATACTCTATTATAGATGCAATGTCAGTTCCCATGAATTTCTGGAACCCATCCATGTCATAGAGAACATATTTGAGGTTTTATAAATGAAGTTATAACCACAGTGAGTGTGTTTAACTCTTTATCATACACTCCTATCCTTCTGCAATGTTTCTCTTACTAATGAAAAGATGAAATCTGTGAGTTAAATTTGGAACCCTCTGGGAAAGGAACAGAAAGAAAGGCAAGACTTGAGATACGACCCATCACTGCAGGCTCTCATTTAAAGAGACCATATAGAAATGTCTCATGGACCATACCACCCTGAAAGCACTTGATCCCTTTGTCTCTTGGAAGCTAAGCAAGGCTGGTCCCTGTTATTATTTGGAAGAGAATAAAATGGCTTACTGTCCTGTTCAATGTATGCTGGCATGACTGAAAAATGAAAAGGCTGTCAAATTTGGAAGAGGTAAGGCATGTTTACTCTGCCCAGAAACTCCTCTCCAGATCATCACAAGCTCCATGACACTGAGATCCAGATGAACCAAATGATGTTTGTCTTTCCCAATGTATTGATGAACCTTCCATTTGGCTTTAGTCAAGGTCATCAATTCCAAAAGCAGGTTTGTTAGGTTTAACTGAAGATGAGATTGATCTTCTGTCTTAACTAACTTTTAACATTGTCCTTCTACTTAGAAAACTAATAATGAAAACAGTGTCACTTGACTCTGTCAGAAGTCATTGTCATATTCAGTTCCATGGTCTCCAGTAATTGTCACTCCTGTAAATAATACTCACCACAGAGCATTGTCATACAGTCTACGATGGAATGGATCCATGCTGTTTGTGAGTAATCCTGAGCAAAGTATGTCTGGAACTCCACAAAGAAAATGGAGATACATCTGAAAAATACAAAAATTCAAAAGACAAATGAAAATGGAATTGAATCAGAACCTAAAATTGTTGCACTTGGCTGCTGCAATTTCAAAAGATTTAGCTACTGAGCTATAGCTAGTAGGAAAGCAGGAGCTGACCACTGGGGCCATTCTGAGGGACCAGAAAACAAGTGTTCCATCAGCAGAGAGGCTGCTGAAATCATGGTGATAGGAAGATCACTGCTTTAAGAGGAAAAAAAGAAAGCATGTTAAGAACACTGTTTATTGTTAAATATTAATATTTCTCTACTTCTCTAAAGTGATATGTAACTTTAAACTTGAACATGAAGAATAACATAAAAACAAGCCTCAACGCCAGACCATCTAGAGCCTGCCCCCATCTGAGTCTTGGTCCCCCTATGCCCTCTGCTTGAGGTGAGTGTGGATCCAGCTCAGGTCCAACTCCCCTCGACCTCTCCTTGGAACTTCCTGGGTCATCTCTGCATCTTAACCCCCCCCCCCACGCCCTCTGCTTGAGTAGACCCAGCTTGGCACACTGAACCATCCAGAACCTACCCTCATCTCAGTCTTGGTCCCTCTATGTCCTCTGCTTGAGTCTTGGCCCCCTTACACCTCCTATGAGAGAATTCCAAGAAATCTCAGACCATCCAGAGCTACTGACATCGAAGTCCTGTCCCACCTACACCCATGGGAAAAGGATGGTAGAGAAAGAGACCCCCACCTGCACCCACTGGAAGAAGGGATGGGCCAATGCCAGCAGAACACATTCACAGCAGAAAGACAAATATGACACCACCAGAATCTAACACTAACACAACCTGACCATACTAAAGCAGAAGATAATAACCTTAAAAACAACTTTATGAAGATGATAGAGACCCTCAAAGAGGAAATGAGAAAAATCCATTAAAGAAAGGGAAGAAAAAACAAGCCAAAAAATGCAAGAAATCAACAAATCTCTAAAGGAAAGCAAAAAAAAAAAAAAAAAAAAATCAAACACATGAAGGAAACAACTCAAACAGTTCAAGACCTGAAAACTGAAATAGAAACAATAAAAAAAACACAAAGTGAAGGAATACTGGAAATAGAAAAGCAGGGTAAATGATCAGGAACTACAAATACAAGCATAACCAAAAGAATACAAGAGATGGAAGAGAGAATCTCAGGCACTGTAGATAAAGTAGAGGAAATAGATTCATCGACCAAAGAAAAAACCCTTATCACAAAATATGGGACAATGTGAAATGACCAAACCTAAGAATTATAGGCACAGAAGGTGAAGAAGCCAGCTCAAAGGTGTAAAAAACAAATTCAACAAAATCATAGGAGAAAACTTTCCCAACCTGAAGAAGGACATGCCCATGAAAGTATAAGAAGCATACCAAACACCAAATAGACTGGACAAAAAAAAAAGTCCCCTTGCCACATAATAATCAAAGCACCAAACATACAAGTTTTTTTTTTTTTTTTAAAAAAAAGAATATTAAGAGCAACGAAGGAAAAAAGCCAAGTAACATAAAGGCAGACCTGTCAGAATTATACCAGACTTCTCCATGGAACTCTGAAAGCCTGGATAGATGTCCTACAAACACTAAGAGACCACGGATGCCAGCCCAGACTACTATACCCAGCAAAGATTTCAATCACTACAGATGGAGAAAACAAGATATTCCATTCCATGACAAAACCAAATTTACACAATACATATCCATAAATCCAGCTCTACTGAAAGTTCTGGAAGGAAAACTCCAACCCAAGGAAGTTAATTACACTCACAAAAACATAGGCAATAGATAGTTCTGATGGGAGATGTCATTCTGTAAATATGTTTCTCTTATTGGTTAATGAATAAAGCACTGTTGGCCAATACAAAAGCAAGATAGGTGGGATGAGGAGACTAGGAGGAGAGAGGAAGTATTAGGGAGGAGTCAGCATGGAGAGACTGGAGAGAGAAGAACACTGGCTCCTCTCTCCGGTAAAATGAGACCATGTGGAAATACTTAGATTAATGGAAATGGGTTAATATTTAAGACAGAGTTAGCCAATAAGAAACTAGTAACAGACCATTAGAATTATATCTAATACAGAGCCTCTGTGTGTTATTTGGGGCTAGTGCGGTAGTGGGACCAGACCGGAGGGGAAAAACCTACTCATAACATAGTCCCACTTTACCAAAAGTCAGAAAAAGAGGAAAGATTGACCCACAACACCACCACCAAAAACACATCCAATACAAACAAAAATCGACAATCAATGGTCATTAATATCCCTCAATATCAATGGTTTTAACTCACCTATATATAAAAGGACACAGGCTAATAGAATAGATACAAAGACAGAATCCATCCTTCTGCTACATACAAGAAACATACCTCAACTTCAAAGACAGAAATTACCTCAGAGTTAAGGGTTGGAAAAATATTTTTCCAATCAAATGGCCCTAAGAAACATGCCAGTATAGCTATCCTAATATCTAACAAGTTAGACTTCAAGCCAAAATCAATCAAAAGAGATGAAGATGGTCATTTCATATTCATCATAGGAGAAATCCATCAGCACAAAGTCTCAATACTGAACATCTATGCCCCAAATACAAAAGAACCCACATTTGTAAAAGAAATGCTACTAAAACTCAAAGCTCACATAAAACTTCACCCATTCATAGCAGGAGACTTCAACACCCTAGACACTTTCACCACTAGACAGGACCACAAGACAGAAACTTAACAAAGAAACAAAAGAACTAACAGAAGTTATGTCTCAATTGGGTTTAATAGACATCTATAGAGCATTCCATCCCAACACAAAAGAATATAATTTCTTCTCAGCTCCACATGGAACTCTCTCTAAAATCAACCACATACTTAGCAATAAAGCAAACCTCAACAAATATAAAAGAATTGCAATAGTCCCCATGTATCAGATCACCATGCCTTAAAATCACAACACTAATTGCAGAAACCCTACAAACTCATGGAAATTGAACAATGCTCAACTGCACCAATCCTCAGTAAAGGAAGAAATAAAGAAAGAAATCAAAGACTTCTTAGGAGTCAATGAAAATGAAGGCACAACACACCCAAATATATGGGACACTCTAAAAGCAGTACTAAGAGGAAGTTTATAGCACTAAGTGCCCACACAAGAGAATTAACAAAACACCTAAAAGCTCTAGAACAAAATGAAGCAAACTCAGCCAAGAGGAGTAGACACCAGTAAATAATCAAATTGAGGGCTGAAATGAATAAAGAAGAAACAAAGAAAACAATACAAAGAATCAATGAAACAAAGAGTTGGTTCCTCAAGAAAATCAACAAGATAGACAAAACTTTATCCAACCTAACCAAAAGGCAGAGAGAGATCATGCAAATTAACAAAATCAGAAATGAAAAGGGAGACATAACAACAGACACTGAGGAAATCCAGACAATCATCAGGTCATATTTTGAAAGCCTGTACTCCAAAAAATTAGAAAATTTAACAGAAATAGACAATTTTCTGGATAGATATCACTTAGCAAAGTAAACAAAGAACAGATAAGCAGTTTAAATAGACCTGTAACTCCTAATGAAATAGAAGCTGTCATCAAAAGTCTCCCAACCAAAAAAAGCTCAGGGCCATATGGTTTGAATACAGAATTTCACCAGTAATTCAAAGAAAAGCTAATACCAATACTCCTCAAATTGTTCCACACAATAGAAGCAGAAGGATCATCCCCAAATGCTTTCTTACCAGGCTACAATTACCTTGGTGCCAAAACCACACAAAGACACAACTAAACTACAGAACTATAGACCAATCTTCCTCATGAACATTGATGCAAAAATACTCAACAAAATACTGGCATATTGAATCAAAAAACACATCAGAAAAATCATTCATTATCAAGTAGGCTTCATCCCAGAGATGCAGGGATAGTTTAACATATGAAAATCCATCAATGTAATCTACAAATAAACAAACTGAAAAAGAAAAACCACATGATCATCTATCTCACTAGATGCTTAAAAGCCTTCAACAAAATTCAACACCCCTTCATGATAAAGGTCTTGGAGAGATCAGGGATAAAAGGAACATTCTTAAACATAATAAAGACAACATACAGGAAACACACAGCCACCATCAAACTAAATGGAGAAACTCAATGCAATTCTCTAAAATCAGGAACAAGACAAGGTTGTTCATCCTCTCTATATCTGTTCAATATTGTACTTGAAGTTATTGATAGAGAAATACGACAACAAAAGGAGTTCAATGGAGCAACAGAGGCTTCATGTGAACACAGAATCCACATGCTCTATGTGTGTCTGTTACCCTCTGCTGCCCCATGTACACTGAGTGTTGGAGATGTCCCATGAACACATAATTCTGGCTGACCTACAGTCCAAAAGAACTTAGTGAGACTCAAAGCTGGCACAGGGTGAATGCATTGCATCCACAATAGTGAGTGCATGGAAGCAAAAAGGAAAGACCTAATAGCCTAAGAGAGGCCATGCTTTACTTCTACACCAAAACTTGTTCAAAAACAGAAAGAAGCAAAAGTACCCTAAAACTAACAATTCCAGTCACCTGTGGTGAGAATCATGACACAGAGGAAGACGACAAGAGTGTTACTCCTACTTCTGCTCTATTTCAGGGAGCTGAAAATGGCTTCGTGGATAAATGTGCTAAAAGAGCAAACATGAAGACACGAGTTCAGATCCCCAGAACTCATGGAAAAACTGTGGCATAATCTGCCTATAATATCAGTGCTAGGGAGACAGAGCCAGGCAGATCCAGGGCCATCTATGTGCGAGAAAATATGAGTAGATTGTTCATGCACATGTATACACACACACACACACACATCTGTATAAATACACATATACACACATATAAAGATCAGACAGATGATGGATGGATAGATGGATGGATGGATGGATGGATGGATGGATGGATGGATAGATAGATAGAATAGTAGAGGAGGAAGAAGAGAGATTGATATGCAAGTATCAGAATATAGGGGT